GCTCAGATATGTAGACGACACCTTCATAATAAGGCCACATGGGAAAGAAAAAACTGGACAACTTCCTCACACACCTCAACAGCCTACACCCCAAAATACAGTTCACCATGGAAACAGAAGCTAACAACCAACTTCCCTTCCTGGATGTCTTAGTCTACAAGAAATCCAATGGCTCCCTAGGACACACCATCTACCAGAAGAAAACACACACAAACCGCTATCTGGCACGCTCTCTCACACCACCACCCAGCACAGATCAACTCTGTAGCCAAGACACTCATCTCCAGAACAAAACGCTTAGCTGACAAACAACACCTAAAACCCGAACTACACACTCTCACCAATGTACTAACATCCAATGGATTCCATAGAAATAAGATTACAAACCTAATCCAAAAAGAAACCCCCACTAAAATCCAAGACAAAGAACAAGAAAACGGCAAAGCCCTCCTCCCATACATAAAAGGCACCACAGACAGAATCAGTAAGATCCTCCATAAACACAACATCAAAACAGCATTCTGCACAAACAGAAAAATATCCACCATCCTTAGAAACCCCAAAGATAAAATTGAATTAGAAAATCAAGGAGTATACGAAATCCCATGCACCACTTGTCCCACCACATACATCGGACAAACCAACAGAAGAATAAGTGCACGCATTGAAGAACATAAGAACTCAGTCAAAAAAGAGGAACCAACATCTCCCTGGTCCAACACCTTAAAGCCACAGGACATGAAATTGACTTTAAAAATACCAGAACCATTGCCAAAAGTGAACATTTTAATAACAGAATAATCAGAGAAGCCATCGAGATAGAAAAACGCCCACACAGCATGAACAAGCGAGATGATACCTCCCGCCTACCAGCCATTTGGAAACCTGCCCTTATTGACAAACGACTCCCTAACCAAAAATCTTAAACCCCTCTGCAACTCAGACTAACCTGAGCACAACCAAACAGAACACTCCCCCAGCCAATCAGAGCACAGCCAAGCCCCTAACCATTCAGAACACACCTCCACCCAATCAGAACACAGCCAAGCTCCCATCCAATCAGTTCATACCCTCACTGGCAGTTAAAAGGAAGAAACAGCTAAAACCACACATTGCTGCTCAAAGCAAGAAGCTAAAAACACCAGCCTGAAGATGACGAATGGACTTCGTCGAAACGTTGCCAAGACACTTCCAATTTTACGCGGGAGAAAACCCGAACAACCAAAGACCTATATACAAATACCCGCGAATAACCTCAGAAAACAATATATATATATATATATATATATTGGAAATAAAAACAAAAACATGACTCTTGGGAATATTCATGTTAGTCAAATAGTAATGATCACCAAGAGAGTATCTATAAAAATAGAATTTTAATCAGGCAGCAGGTCACGGGGTTGCTTATGCGTCATAGGCACCACCAAGTGTTACCTAGGGATGAAACGGAGGCCCTGGAACATCTTAAGAGGGACGCCACCATTGTGATACTCCCCGCTGATAAGGGGAGGGCCACAGTGGTGATGGACAGGGCACTCTATGTGGCCAAAGCGCTGCAGTTACTAAATGACAAGACTGCTTACAGAATTATTAAGAAAGACCCCATGGTGGCCCTGAAAAATAAAATCAACAAGTTACTTGATAGTTTTAAACGATCAAAGAAACTTGATGAAGATACCTTAAGGAGAATACGACCCAATGATTCTGCGCTCCCGAGGTTTTATGGACTGCCAAAAATCCATAAGCAGGATATTCCACTTCGCCCTATCGTGTCGTTTAGAGGCACTCCCATCTCAGGGTTGGCGAAGTGGCTTAGTGACCGTATATCCTACCTGGTCGATGGCAGCCCCACTACAGTCAGATCCGCAGAGGAATTCCTGGGGAGGATCAGGACCCTTAGGGTGGAGGAGGATGAGGTGATGGTCTCTTTCGACGTCACCTCACTCTTCACCCCCATCCCCCAAGAACTGGCCCTGAGAGTCCTAAGGGATAGATTAGAAAAACTAGGAAAAACCGGACACCGGGATTCCCTGCAACCGGGGGACCTAACGCAACTCATTGAGCTATGTCTTACAACCTACTTCTCCTTTCAAGGGAATATATATGAACAGGTCAAAGGTACACCGATGGGCTCCCCAATATCCAGCGTGGTGGCAGAAGCGGTTCTACAACAATTAGAACACGAGGCTATGACCCGTCAACAGCCCAAGTTTTGGGCACGGTACGTTGACGACACTTTTGCGGTCGTCAAACGAGACCATTTAGCCGGCTTTATGGGAGTATTAAATTCAATATATCCGGACATTAAGTTTATGTTGGAGGAGGAGGTCCGGGGCTCGATAGCCTTCTTGGACGTACTGGTCCAACGTTCCCCAGATGGAACTCTAAACACCAAGGTCTATCGGAAGCCCACTCATACGGACCGCATCCTCCATTTCCATAGTAATCATCCGGCCTCCCATAAAGCCAGCTGTATTAAGACCTTGTTCAAACGGGTACAGTCGCACTGCAGCACCATGGAAGCTAAGGCAGAAGAAAGAAAACATCTATTCCGCATATGCCGAATGAATGGGTATCCCCCGAGGTTTATTAAGCGACACAGTATGGCACCCGGACTACATAATGGACAATCAAGAGAGGACCTCCAGACACGGGTCACACGCGTGTCACTACCGTACATCAGAAACGTGTCAGAGGCTACAGCCAGGCTTCTGGCACCCCACAACATACAGGTAGCCCACAAACCCACCCAAACCATACGAGCTAAGATGATGCGCCCCAAAGATCAGCTCCCCACCGCCGAGAGATCAGCCATAGTTTATAAAATCAACTGTGCGGATTGCCAGAGTAATTACATAGGCGAGACCTCGAAAAGACTTAAGACCCGCCTACATGAGCATAGGCTAGCCATTAGACGGGGTGAACAACACTCCCAGATTTGGGCTCATGCAGTAGAATACGGCCATCGTTTTGATTTTGAGAATGCCCAAATCTTGGCTAATGATATCACAAAAAGAGGCCGCTTATTAAAAGAGGCATGGTTCTCAGAAACTGAATCCATCAATAGGCGTGTGGATTTGTGTGCAGCACACCAGGCTCTGAAAATATGGAATGCTGGTAGCCGCATTAACCGGGAGAGGGGACTTAATTCAAAGACTTACTATCCAGAAGACATCGCTCGACCCCCCTCCTCATATAATCACATTAATGCAGCCCCCACTGATGGCCCCCCCTTCTTGGAACAACTACAGACCAGTCCTGGCAGACAACTGCGGACGGATTCGCCACGATCCGTAGAGAACGGAACAGCATGGAGATGGAATGGAAATGGATGGGGATTCGAGAAACTGGAAGAAAAACGGAATACAACCAGGTCCGGTAGAGATGAGGAGAACGACGATGAACCCCCCCATGAGGAGGCTACCAGACACAGCATGACAACTCGATCGCAAGCCAGCAGGAGAATGCACCCCCCTTCGACACCCCCAGCGCAAAGTTATGGGATGAAACAGCGACTACAATTAAAGGGGAAGAGCACCGTATGGAGTGGGAATGGAGAACCAAGGACGGACGGTAACGTTGCCCACCGGCAACGGATGGAACAACGAGCCACTGACAATAGGACAACGACAAAAAACATCTTGACGGTGCGCAAGACAGAGCGTGTGGGAACGAACAGCGGACCGTACAGGGGAACCCAGGGGAAGAAGGAGGGGAGGAGGAACAATATGGGCGGGGGTTATGAATCTAGGGCACAATTCCGGGAGACGGATAAACAAGACCAAAATAGCCGTGAGGCTTGTAAGGATACTGAAAGTGATAATTGCCCACCCCCACTCATAGAGGGAAGTCGTGTGTGGGATGGTGGTGGGGGGGAGGCTATGAGCAACGAAGGCAAAAAGATCTGGACTCCCAACTCTGAAACAACTTATGACAGAATGCAGACTAGTAATGTGGGATGTAGGCTGGAGACCCAACCCGATCAGCTGGGGCCTATGACACGCTCCAGGAGCCGGAAGCAGACACTAAACAGCTGTATATAAGACTCTCCCCCGGCACTTACCTTTTAACCCTGACGATGTCAATTGTGTTTGACGAAAGCTCGGTGGATTAAAATTCTATTTTTATAGATACTCTCTTGGTGATCATTACTATTTGACTAATATATATATATATATATATATATATATATATATATATATATATATATATATATATATATATAAATTTATATCAATTATTTTGTTCATCCCATAGTCAGCCAGATGTTTAGAATGAATTTGACATATTTGGTCCACCTAGCTCCGTGGTGGTGAACCTATAGCACATGTGCCACAGGTGGCACGCAGAGCCATCTCTGTGAGCACACGCACCGTCGCCCCAGTCCTAGGCCTTCAGCTGGGTTTTATAAAACGTTTTCACTTTAGGCCTCCACCACCATGTTAAAAAAAAAAAAAGTTAATCAATCAATTTTAACTTCTCGCGGGGAAAAAAAAGATCTCGCAAAGTTGGAATTGATTGATTGAATTTTTTAGTCCCACCCAGTCTGCCGTTACCACCGCAGCCATGCCCACCCAATTGGCCACGCCCACCCGGCACCTGATGATACATAAGTGGGTTTTGGGTTGCAGTTTGGTCATTCGGTCTCTAAAAGGTTCGCCATCACTGACCTAGCCAGTCCTTCCCAAAGAGCTGGGATAGGCAGATATTGTTTGATGGTATTAAAGGTATCATTGCAGGATGTAAGCTGTTCCAAGTAAAGCTGCCTTTTGCAATTGACTGACAGGGATTTTGTCAATGCTGATCGTGGTCAAGTGGTGATGCAGATGTTTTGGGATTATTATAATTATGATTATTGTTGTTATCTTTATGTGAACAACCAAGGCTTACATAGAGATCTCCTAAGACCTGTAAAATTGAATATAAATATGTTTAGAAATATCTTTTTCATCAACCAAGCACTCCCCTCCAAAAACAGAACTAATAGCCAAACTTACGTGGGTCTTCAGCCTTTGAAAAATGCCTCTTTAAAAAACCACAATTGTGATCAGGCTCTTTCTCCACTTCCTTGGATGACTCAGTATTAAGAAGGAAGAAATTCTGCTCCGTGGCATTATAGAGCGGCCACTCAGCCTCGGTGGCCACCAAACCCGAAGGATTCCTATGGAGGAAGAAAAGGATGCTGATTTTCCAAAGAGACTCGTATTGATCTGAGAAACTCCAGCCAAGGGAAACTCCCAAAGAGGACTTTGAGGGAGGGGTGGGGATGCCCTCAGTCCAACACGATCCGTGGTCAGCTTCTATTTATGAACAATTCAACTTTTCTACTTGTTGCAAAGTTGAAGAAGAACTTTGCTTCACTACTTTCTTCATAGTAATTATTGCACAGATCTACAACTGGTACAAAGTATGCAGTAATATAGCTACAAGAAGGACAATATGAGTAGTCCTCACATTATGACTGGTCACTTAACAAGTATTGGAAGTTACAATGGATTTCCCCAGCGGTACTTACCACTCATTTTTGGAGTTATGATGACCGCACACACGGACGTGCTGACACACACAAAAAAAAACCCCACACACTATGTGATCACATGATCATATTTTTGGTGCTTGACAACTGACTCACCTTTACCACCATTTGCAATTTCCCACGGTCATGGATGCTCAACCACAGCAGCCAAAGTTCAATATCAGTGGAGTTCAAAGTTCAGTAGCACTCGAGATTTCATCCATCCTCCGCACAAGAGATTGTGAAGAGGGGCAGGGCTGCTGATCCAAACCCAGGTCAGCTCCTCGTAGGCTCTTGAAATCTACCACTCCCAATCCATTCCTCCATTCCTCACACCCTGGGCACCCTCCATCTTGGGAGTTTCCCTTTACTACTTACTCCCTTGCAAGCCTTTTGTCAAGTCCCTATTAGAACGCTGCTGTTGAGTCCGTGGCGGGAAAACAGACACAAGAAGCAGCTGGAGTTCTCAGTTTCTTTTATTCAGCGTTCAGCTTACAGGAAGATGGCTTCAGCCTCGCCCAAACGCCTCGCAGCCTCTTATATAGGCAACTCCCGGGTAAATGGGTTACTTTTCCCGCGCCAGCACCCGCGCATGCGCACGGCGCTGGCGACAGCCTGTCTGGTCCCGGGCAGCTTTGCACCTGCCCGGGACTGCCTGCAAACGCCCGAGCCGTTTGCAAAGGCTCGGGACATAACAGCTGCCATTCCAAGGGGAGAGGGAGCACGAGTCATTGTGGATTGAGGATGTTCCTAAATTGTTCCTGCTTTCGCTTTGATGTATCTGCATGGAAAATAGGGAGTGGGGAAAGAGTCTTCAGGGCCATCTGTTTTGACTCCTGAAGCTAGTGAGGATTAGGCACCAGAGAACAGCCGGTTATCAGCTTTTCGGTTCAAAGTTCTCACGACATCTTCACACCAGCGGATTGGCTCCTGATGGACTGGGGTATTGGGGTGGAGCTGGGGAAATAGGACTTTTAGCTTAACACATTTGTGCGGGAACTTCGGATTCCATCTTACTTCCCTGCAATCACTTTCTCTCAGTAAAACAACTCTTTTGAAATGATGCCTGTTTCAAGAGTCATGCTTTCCCGAGGCTAAAGTTGAGGCAGGACCTTACACCTTTGCGCATTCTCCTAATCGTACAGTAATGCTCTGCTTCTTCTTCTTCTTCTTTCTTTCTTTATTCCACTTGCAGAAATAGTATACCTGGAATATGTGTGATAACATTGAACTATAAAAGAACGATTACCTAGAATTAACATAATTAAGAATCCTTAAAAATTTCAGGGCTTTTCCCAGTACAACTGGGACAGTTGACTTACAGATTAACAAGTTGACTTACAACCGTTTGTTTAACATCCGTTCAAGGTTACAACGGAGGCTGAAAAAAGTGATTTACAACTGGCCCATGCACTTACAACTACTGCAGCATCCCCATGGTCATGTGATCAGAATTTGGGTGCTTGGCAAGTGGCATATATTTACAATCACTGCAGAATCTAGGGGTCAAGTGATGACCATTTGCAATCTTCCCAGCTGATTTTCAACAAGCAAAATCAGTGGAGGAAGCTCAATTCACAGTTAACAAGAGCAGTGATTTGCTTAACAACTATGGTAAAAAGGATCATTAAATTGGGATGACTCACTTAACAACCACCTTGCTTAGCAATCAAAATTCTAGTTTCAATTGTGGTCACAAATAGACTACTATCTGTATTAACGTTACTTATAAACATTGGCAAAGGAATAGCATGCATTATTGTATGGCTGCGCTCAGTGCTTTTTTTTTTTTTTAAAAAAAGTGCCAGAACTCACACACATCATACAACCCGCCTTGCCTGCCCTACAAGGTTCCATCCAAAAAAGGTGCCGGAACTCCGTTCTGGGCCTTCTATGAGAAAAAAAGCCCTGGCTGCATTACTTTAGACACAAAGTACATTTGTTGAATGGCTTTCTTTGGATTTAAAATACAAATTTATAGAAATAAAGTGAACCACTTACCCAGTTCTGGCAAACTCTGCCCAGTATTGCATCATCTTACGGCTCAGTCTGGCCTCAGCCTCTGTGTATGTTTGATTGACAGGCAGCACTGATTCAAGGGTCCCAAAAATGTAAGGAATCTCAGCACCATGGAATGCCCCAATCCATTCAGAACAAACTGACCCTGAAGTGTGATGTGAGAATAAATAGGCATATATAGGACTCCCAGTTTTCCGAAAATTTCTTGCAACTTCAATCATTGGGCATACAAAGACCCAATCTGCAAAGAATTGGGACAGAGCAGAGCGGTATTTTGTTGGGCCTTGATTTCCTTCACTGTACCTCAGGGCAATTGTCTGAACAAAATCTTCAGTTGCATTTGCCACCAACAGTCTTATCCCGTCCAGAAGCTGCTCCTGATTGATGAGATTTTCGTTGATGTCAGAGAAAATATAGGAGACAAATGAGCCCCCTTCATCAGAGGTCTTACCTATGAGGATTGGTTTGACCTGAATTTGCCCCTCTTCCATGAGCTTTTCCGGATCACCAAGCAAAAGATCCTCATCTACAGTTGGTTTAAAGGGAAAATTCAGAAGGAATCCAAGTTTGTAGTACAGATATATTTCATACTCAATAAATTCAGAAATATGTTTTGTTTGCAGACAATGCCCAACACCGACATTATTACCCTTGGAACAACCTAGCAAATGAACGAATTCAAGCGATAACCGTTTGGCTTCCTCAGGAGACCTCCAAGCCCAGAAAGCATTGGCTGTTCCACTCTGGATCACCGCTTGGGCAAAAAGGTCCTGGCTTTTTGGTGCAAGAAGATGGAAATTCACAGAAGCTCCTCCGACACTCTGGCCAACAATGGTCACCCGAGAAGGGTCTCCCCTAAAGGCAGCTGCATTCTCTTTTATCCACCTCAGTGCCAACTGTTGGTCCCATAAGCCTAGGTTCCCTGGAGCAACTGGTGGCAAGTAAAGAAAGCCTAAGGCTCCCAAGCGATAATTAATGGTGACCACAATGACATTCTCAGTGGCAGCCAAGGATGCCCCATTGAACACATCCACAGAAGATGTGCCTCCTAAATATCCCCCTCCATGTATCCAGACCAAAATAGGCACTAATGAAGAAGGTTGTGGGTGCGGCACCCAGATGTTGAGGGAAAGGCAATCTTCTGACAGTGGTGTTTTAGGAGACCATATATTTGCTTCAGGCTCATCCGCGAAAATAAATTGAGGACAGGAATTGCCAAAGCTGGTGGCCTCCAATGTTTGATTCCATGGCTGATGTGGAAGAGGTTTCTGTAAGCGCAACTTTCCCAGGGGAGGCTCAGCGTAAGGAATGCCTAGATAGGCTGTCACAGATCCAGGGCCAGCCAGGAACTGCTTGCCCTTAATAGGGCCACTGCTGGTTATGACCACTGTGTCCCCATTAGAAGAAGAACTGGAGGCTAATGGAAAGAGGAGGAGGAGGCAGCACCAGAGAGAAGGGCATAGCAGAGAAGACATTGCAACTGTAGGACAAGTTGGTGGACCTGGAAAAAGTTACAACCAATATGAGATTATTCCTTACTGTATAAGCCCACCTAATGCCAATTCATCATTGATTTATTATGATGGCGGGATTCCTTTTTTTATTTTTGCTGAGGAGACCAATGGTGAGCAGGTAGTGACTCAGTCACCTTTGCCCTTCTCCATCATGTGTCTCCAAGGTTCCAAAAGAACCGTTTAGGACTCCTGGTTACCGATCCCCTTGCTCAGCGAATGGACAGTTTTGACACAGAATTGCTGCTAGATCCTCTCCAGGGTTACTAATACAGTTTTGGTATATATTGTTTGTTACGTATATGTTAAGATATTTAAATCTAGTAGCTAGAAGAGTGGAGTTGTACAGAACACATAGTTATAGTTGATTGGTTGGAAATAGCTGGCTCCTGAATGAGGCAATCTATGCTGTGATTGGTTGCTGGGGAGAGTTTCCTTGTTTCCCGCCTTTTTCTCCTATGTGCTCTATGATTTACCTCACAATATTCCTGTTTGCCTAACTATCTCATTTGCTGTAAATATATTTATTTATATAAAACTACAAGTTTGTGTCAGCATCTCTGACTTCATTTGGACACCTGCTGCACCATTCCCTGATAGTATATTCTATCTTTTTAACTTATTCCAAAATCCCTTTTTGGAACTTGGTGTACCAATCCCTATCTTGTGGATTATAGCTAAGATATAACTGAAATAAATAACAATGCAAAATGGTCCCGTCAACATTTTTACTGCTTCTGATCGTGCTTTAAATTATCCAAGTATACAGTTGAATCTCTCCGACATACACACAAACATCCTCTTTTTTTAGGATTTTCCATCTGGAACCATGGCTGATTGTAGACCATCATAATTTGGGGCAGTGCTCTTTACTTTTCAACATCTAAACAAATTTCCAGATTTATTTTTACACTAAGCCATAAAACTGGAATTGTTCTGTTGTAAACATTCCCAATCTCCAAAACCCTGTTAGCCTTTTAGAAGGCCCTCAAAATGTGGTTTTCCCAGCAATCTTAGGGAGCTCAGGGGGAGCATGTGTAATGGTTATATTGTGTTTAGATGGAAGTTTTTCTCCCACAAGTTTGCTTTCATTTATTTCTGAAGCTTTTAATACCTATGATGTTTAATTGCGTTGTACACAAGTTGATCAGTTCTCTTACCTATGAGGACTGATTTGACCTGAATTTACTTTTCCTTCATTAGCTGGATGGCTATATACCTTTGTTAAATAAAGTTTATGTTTATTTCTCATCTTTATAAGTCTACCTATCTCACAAAAAGTGACACTGGGTGGCATACAGCCATCAATAAAAATAAATGAAACAATTTCCACAATGGAGAAAGTAATTTTAAAAACTGAGCTTTCTACCATTGTAGTCCTTTCATACATGAATGCTAATCTTGATTTGTCTGAGTTTCCCTTTTCCTGCCACAGTTGTTCAACCAACTGAAAAGTTAATCAACTTTAGGATTTGTACTCTTGAATTTGGCTGCAGTACAGGTAGTCCTTGACTTCTGACAATTGAGCCCAAACTTTCTGTTGCTAAGCAAGACAGTTAAGCACATTTTTATCCATTTTATGATCTTTCTTGCCACAGTTGTTAAGTGCATCACTGTAGAGGTTAAGTTAGTAACATAGCTGTTAAGTGAATCTGGCTTCCTCATTGCCTTTCCTTGTCAGAAGGTCACAAAAGGTGATCACATGACTCTGAGACACGGCAACCGTCATATATACATGCCAGTTGTCAGGCATCCAAATTTTGATCATGTGATTCTGGAAATGCTGCAATCATAAGCTGCCCAGAGTCTCTGAGAGTCAATTGGGTGGCGATATAAAATTTCTTAAATAAATAAGTTTCCTTTTATTGCTGAAGAGATTGTTGTCTCTTTACATATGCCTAGCCTGCAATAGGATTAACAATTAACAGAAATTCTAGTCCTTTTCCTAAAAATCATCTTCCAATTCTCTGAAAAATACTGATTTTTAAAAATTCTTCAGACTTACCTGTTTATCAGTTTTAAAGGGACTGCTTGTAAATATTACCCTCGGCTTATTCCAAAGAAGGAAACAGTAGAAATGACCAGACTGTATCTTGCTCTCTCACAAATAATGATAATGGAAAGAGCAATGTGATATATGACAGGAGGGTGCATTGACCAATTGGATTCTGCCCATTAAGGAGGAGGAAGTTGCAAATATTGGCAAAGACTCCAAGATTAAAGTGCTGGATGTTATGTCTTGGGCTGGCAGGCACAGGCTGCAGCAATTGGCCTGGGCAGACCATGTGGATGCCCGGGACAAGAAAGGCTGCTTCCAGCTTTTGCAATGATTAGCCAGCAAGGTATTGTGATGGGGGGCTATAAAAGGGGGCTGCACCATTTTTAAAACCTGTTCTGTTGGTGTTGCAATAAAGGAGACTGTTGGAACTCGTTGCTTCGTCTCAATGCCTCTTTTCCTGAAACAGAACATTGGCGACGAGGATGGGATGCCTGCAAGGCAAACAGATTAAGAAGCCAAGCTGACTCACCACAGGGGGCTTGCAGCTCGGAGAAATGTGGCTCCTGGAGATTGACTTAGCCTGCCAGCACTGAGACGCTGGAGGTGAGCTCAGAAAAGGGGGCCCCTTCTCAATCCTTGCTGCAAGAGGCATGGGCTAAGTTCCTGGGCTGAAACGATGGAAAGATAGGCCAGCTTTCAGAATTTGACACAGCTCACCCAGAACGCTGGAGCTCGTATGTGGCCTGGGTGGAGAACTACCTCCAGGTGAATCAAATTCATGAAGATGACCTCAAAGCTGTCACGCTGCTATGTGTGTGTGGGCAAGAGACCTTCGAGATTGTGGAGAATCTGGTCGCCCCAGCCCCACTGGAATCAATCACCTACACAGAATTGAAGAGGATGCTTCGAGAGCATTTTGAACCCAAGTTCTCAGTGATTGCCTGGCGACACACGTTCGAGCAGAGGGACCAGAGGCCTGGTGAGTCTGCAGCAGAGTTTGTTGCGGCCTGTGAATTCAAAGACTTGGAGAAGGGACTGAGGGATTGGCTGGTCTGTGGCCTGTGAAGCCGGGAGTTGCAGCAGAGGCTCTTCGCGAAGGAAGGCCTCACGTTCCAAGATGTCCTGAGGAAAGTTTCAGCCGAAGAAGCAGCAGATGGAGCTGTGAAGGCCTTGCTCTATTGATCATCTTCTTAGATATCTTTAACAAGGTCTGCAGCAGAAGCAGCCTACGGGTGAAACTCAGGCCGTCAAACTTTATCCTCACAGATTTCCAAAATTCCAGAGTCAACGTGAGGGGGGAGGCCACACTCAAGGTGCAGCGTAGGAATTTTGAGGGGCTACTGGATGTAGTTGTGGTTGGGGGAGACCATACAAGTCTCATTGGACTCGACTGGTTTGAGGCCCTGGGAATTCAGGTGACTGGAATACACAGCGTGCAAACAACAGGCCTGGCTGGGGTCTGCAAGGAGTTTGCAGATGTATTTAGTCCAGAACTTGGCTCCTACAAAGGCCCTCCTATTTCTCTGAGGCTAGACCCAGCCGTAGCCCCCATTAGAATCAAGCCACACAGGGTGCTCTTTGCCTTAAAGGGTAAAATAGATGCAGAGCTGGATAAACTGATTCAACATGGTATCTTAGAGACTGTGGACAGTAGGCCAATGGTGAAGTCCGAATCTGTGTGGACTACAAGTGCACGCTTAACAAAGCGCTGCAGCAGCATTCATACCCAGTACCAGTGATCAGTCACATTCTAGCCTCCCTCAAGGGGGGCCAGATCTTTGCTAAGCTTGACCTGGCTCAGGCCTATCAACAATTGCCAGTTGATGAGAAAACGGCCGAGGCCCAAACTATAGTGACTCACAGGGGGGCATTCAAGGTACGAAGATTGCAATTTGGGGTAAACGTGGCCCCTGGCATCTTCCACAGTGTAATGGAGTGAACTCTCCAAAATATCCCTGGCGTTTGCTCGTACTTTGACGATGTCCTCATCGCTGGGGACTCAGCTGACAGTTTAGCCAAAAGGCTGAGAGCTGTTTTGCTACGTTTCCGCCAAGAGGGGCTGAAGCTTAAGCAAGACAAGTGCAAGATCGGGGTTACCTCCACGGAGTTTCTAGGATTCCGCATTGATGCTCAGGGCATCCACCCTGCTGAATCCAAGCTGCATGCAATTCAGCAGGCCCCAAGTCCCAAATCTAAGGGTGAACTTCAGGCCTTTCTGGGACTGCTAAATTTTTACCACTCATTCCTTCCTCACAAGGCTGCAGTGGCTGAGCCGTTACACCAGCTCTTAGACAAACAGGCCCCTTGGCAGTGGACACAAGCACACGAAAAGAGCTTCAAAGAGGTCAAGACCTTGCTCTCTTCAAATGCGGTCCTCGCGCACTTCAATGAGAACTTGCCAGTATGGATCGCCTGTGATGCGTCCCCTTATGGGGTTGGGGCTGTGTTAAGTCACTTGAAGGCTGATGGAACGCAAGTCCAAATAGCATACTACTCTAGAACCCTATCATCAGCTGAACGCAATTATGCACAAATAGATAGGGAAGCCTTAGCCATAGTGGCTGGCATAAAGAAGTTCCATGACTTAGTATATGCCCACCACTTCACGGTCTTTACAGACCATAAGCCACTGCTGGGGTTGTTCACAATGAACAAATAAACCCCACACAGGTCTATCTTCCTGTCTGCATATGACCATACACTGGTTCACAAGCCAGGTAAAGAAATGGGTCATGCAGATGGTCTCAGCAGGTTGCCATTACAGCAGATAGAGGCAGATCCAGCACCTGCCAATTGCATCCTGTCTATTCAGGACTTGCCTGAATCTCCCCTCAGTGCTAGGGATGTGGCTGCAGAAAAGCCACCGATCACACGCTAACACACGTGCTGACTTGGGCATTGTCTGGATGGCCTGACACATGTCCAGGCTCAGAATTCCAGAGCTTCTGGCAGAGGAAGCACGAGATTTCCACCTTCAAGGGGTGTGTCCTATGGGGTAGCCGAGTAGTAATCCCAACCTCATTGAGGACTAGAGTCCTGCAGTCTCTGCATGAGCGACATCCAGGAATGGATGAAGCCATCTTTGGTGGCCTGGGCTCGACAAAGATGTCAAGGCCCAGGTCCACGGGTGCACTGTTTGTCAACAGTCAAGGCCAGAGATGCTCCAGGCCCCAGTTCATAAGTGGGAGGAGATTCATACCCCATGGTCGAGGGTCCATATCGACTACGCTGGGCCCTTTCAGGGGCAATTCTTCTTAATTCTCGTGGACAGCCATTCCAATGGCTAGAGGTCATGCCTGTCTCCTCCACTACCACTGGTAGGACCATCCAGGTGCTGAGAGGGATCTTCGTGGCACATGGACTTCCAGATGTCCTTGTCTCCGACAACGGGCCCCAATTCACATCATTGGAGTTCAAGGCGTTCCTCCAGGCCAACATGATCCGGCATGCCACATCTGCACTGTTCCATCCAGCTTCCAACGGCCAGGCTGAACGAATGGTTCGCACAACCAAGGATGCCTTAAAGAGGATCACTCACGGGACCTGGCATCACAGGTTAGCGGACTTTCTTCTTTGCCACCACACCACACCATGCACAGCTACTGGAAAGAGCCCAGCTGAACTTCTCTGGGGTCGCCGCCTCATCACGAAACTGGACAGATTGCACCCAAACCGGGTGGCTTCACAGGTGTCACAGCCGTTGTCACCTAGGAGACTACAAGTGGGAGATCTGGTCTGGGCAAGGAACTATGGACCAGGACATCTTTGGATCACAGCAGTGGTATGCAAGGTCTCTGGGCTGCTGTCATACGACGTGGCCTTGGACGATGGTCGTGTGATCCAATGTCACATTGACCAACTGCGCTGGAGGCTTCCCAGCAACTCTTCCACTCCTAGCTCTGCTCTCAGGGGGGGGGGAGGAAGACCACAATTACGATTGTGGACCACGGTCTCTCCAACATCCCCAGGCTTCAGCTATTACTCCAAACAGGGAGTCCGCAGAAAGGGGGTTCGCCATGGAGGCAGCTCCGGCCTCTGGCACTCAGGCCACTCCAGCTGCTGATCTAGGGCTCGAGGGACAGTGCTCCCAAGAGGAATCCATTGGGGACATGGGGAATTCCACCCCACCACTGGACTTGGGGAATTCCACCCCCCCCCCCCAAGGAACCCTGGCTTGGATTTAGCAAATTCAGCCAGTCAGCAGCTGGGTCTTTGGGGCAACAAAGTCCTGGTCTGCCTAGCCTGGCAGGCGAGCTGGCAGGCCAGGCACACACACAGGACATGAGAAGATCAGGGCGGGCCAGAGGTCCTCCCAAATACTTACAAGACTATGTACGGTCCTTGTCAGTTCATGGGCAGGCCTGGCAGTCTGGGTTAAGTAATGCAGCTCAAGGGGAGTGGGGAGCATGGCGATAGCAAGACTGTAGTGTTGTGTATATATAGATGCAATGTAAGCAATATAATGGAGTGTTGGAGTATTTAAAATAATAAGTGTGCCTTATTATTTTAGCTAAGCGGGGAGGGGTGTTATGTCCTGGGCCGGCAGGCACAGGCTGCAGCGATTGGCTCAGGCAGACCATGTGGATGCCCAGGACAAGAAAGGCTGCTTCCAGCCTTTGCAATGATTGGCCAGAAAGGTATTGTGCTGGGGGACTATAAAAGGGGGCCACACTATTTTAAAATGAGGACCCAGATTGTTGGGGGCAATGTAAATATATATATATACATTTCTTACTGGTGTACACCGCTTAGAGAGTGCTTGCACTTAAAGCGGTATATAAGTCTCATAAATAAATAAATAAATAAAAACCTGTTCTGTTGGTGTTGCAATAAAGGAGACAGTTGGAACTCGTTGCTTCGTCTCAATGCCTCTTTTCCTGAAACAGAACAGTGGAAATGCAGAGAACTTCAATCAAATGGGGCGCAGTCACTATCTGTGGTGTGCAAACCTGCATGAATCTGCTGTTTGGCTTTCCAGCTCAGAAAAGTGCCCAAATATATGTTTTGTTGTGCAATAAAAATGTAGTTGATTTTCAGTAAGTATTAAACAATCTATTCCAACATAGCATTTCTGGGTGAAGGAAGTCAAACCCCCAAC